TGGTGTTCAACCTGTATTTCACTAAGCGTACACAGTTCCTTATGCCTTGAGAGATGAAGTAAATCAAGAGTTGTCTAGATTAGAGTCTGAAGGTATCATAAGTAAAGTCAAACATGCAGATTGGAGTAGTCCTATGGTTTGTGTACCAAAATCTAACGGCAAGTTGCGTATGTGCGTTGATTTTAAAACCACTTTGAACAAGCATTTAAAAGTAGATCAACATCCTATCCCCACTCCTGATGACATTTTTAACAAATTTGTGGGATGTAATGTTTTTTGTCGCTTGGATCTGTCCCAAGCGTATTTGCAGTTAGAAGTTCATGAAACAAGTAAACAATTGTTGGTTTATCCATGTTTGCCTCCTGGATTGAATAATAATAATAATAATAGGTTAAATACCTTGTATACGTCCTCAATCCAAGTCGTCTTATAAAATGACTATAGTTTCGGGGCCGACAGTCCCATTGTCAAATTTTCTGTCTTGTTAATTACTGTTTATAGCATTGGTCACCATTGAAGTACACATATACACATACACTGACACACGAAACATTTATATTTACACGTAACATTGAAAAATTATACTTTTGGCCGGCCTAAACAAAAAGTGATTACATCATTGTGCGGACCGGTACACTGACTGACTGACTGATTCATGTTAGCCGATACCCTGGAGACGTTGACCTTGGCCTTGGGGGAGGGGGGTGATCAGCTATTTGTCACTATTTCTATTGTTCAATGAATCGATGCGATCGAACAGAATGTTGGAATTGAAAGTTAGTTTTTCGTTTAACACATCGTTTGGCGATTTTTTGAAAGCTTTATAAATTTCATAGCTTTCTAGGACGTTCATCACGGGGCCTTTATTGCATTTATGTAAAATTTCTAATCCTCCATTGGAACTTTTTATGGAATGGTTTTCTTTTTGCAGGTGTTCGGCAATCTTAGAATGCCTAAATTGCATTCACAGCGTTACAATAGAAATAGTGACAAACAGCTGATCACCCCCCTCCCCCAAGGCCAAGGTCAAGGTCTCCAGGGTATCGGCTAACATGAATCAGTCAGTCAGTCAGTGTACCGGTCCGCACAATGATGTAATCACTTTTTGTTTAGGCCGGCCAAAAGTATAATTTTTCAATGTTACGTGTAAATATAAATGTTTCGTGTGTCAGTGTATGTGTATATGTGTACTTCAACGGTGACCAATGCTATAAACAGTAATTAACAAGACAGAAAATTTGACAATGGGACTGTCGGCCCCGAAACTATAGTCATTTTATAAGACGACTTGGATTGAGGACGTATACAAGGTATTTAACCTATTATTATTATTAATTGTTGGTTGTTAACACAATCAAAGGTCAAATATGTACAACCGCCTACCTTTTGGCTTAGCCTCTGCTTGTGCAATATTTCAATCAGTTATTGAATCAATCTTTTTAGAGTTAAATCAGGTTGCGCCTTATCTTGATGATATATTGATTGGAGGTAAAGATTTAACCGAATGTGAACAGAATCTGCACAGTGTATTGTCACGTCTTGAAGAGTACAATGTTAAGTTAAATGTAGATAAGTCAGAATTTTTTGTACAGTCGTTGATATTTCTAGGGTTTGAGCTGTCTGGTAAGGGTAAAGCACCGTCTGCTACCAAAGTGCAGCAGATTTTGTCTATTCCAGATCCTACTAATTAAACAGAACTTTAGTCATTTGTGTCAATGTTTAATTACTACAGAAACTTTGTACACATGTGTCCAGACCTTTTAGAACCTTTTCATAAACTAATGAGAAAAGATGAACCATTTGTCTGGTCATCAGAATGCGCATTAGCTTTTGCTAATTGTGTAAAACGTCTATATCAGAAGCAACTATGTTAGTGTTGTTTGACGCATCAAAAGAATTAATTTTGTCTGTTGATTCGAGTTCTTTTGGTATTGGTGCAATTTTGAGTCATGTTGAAGGTAAGTGCAACACTAAACCCAGCACAAAGAAATTATTCACAATTAGAGAAGGAAGCTCTGGCTTGTGTTTTTGGTCTAAGAAAGTTTCACAAATATTTGTGGGGAAGAAGTTTTACGATTTGTAGTGATCACTTGCCCCTGAAGAGTATTTTCAATGAAAATAAGAGAATACCAAACTTAGCTTCTTCAAAGCTAATACAAATGGTGGGCTACCATGTTGTCTGCTTATCAGTATAAGATTGTCCACAAGAAAGGTTTATTGATACCACATGCCGATGCCTTGTCGCGATTACCAAGCTCTGATTTAGTTCAAGATGACAATTCTTTTTTTACTTATTTGTCCACTCCTCTAGTTTCTCATGATGAAGTGTGTAAAGAAACCATGAAAGATAACGTTTTGTCTAAAGTGATAGAGTTTGTACAACGTGGTTTTCCAAAAAAAAAGTGTCCAGTGAGTTCAATGTGTATTCTAACAACAGCCACTGTTTGAGTGTTCACAATGGTTGTTTGTTTTTTGGAAGTAAAATTGTAATACCTGAAAACCTAAGAAATTAAGTCCTAGATGTGATTCATTTCAGCCATGCTGGCATAACTAGATCAAAACTATTTGCAAGGTCATACGTATGGTGGCCTACACTTGATAGCGATCTATATAGATTCATTTCAAACTGTCAAATATGCCAGTCCCATCAAAAGAAACATAGTAACCAATATCGTCTACCTTGGCCTAAGTCAAAATGCCCTTGGGTTAAGAGTGCATCTAGATTTGTTTGATTTTCGTAGCAATAAGTATTTGATCTTGTGTGATTCTTACTCTAAGTGGGTAGAGTGCTTTGTACTAAGAAACAGAAGTGATTTCAAAGCTGTTATAAATAAACTAGCAGGAGTATTTTCTAGATTTTCATTTCCGCGCACAATTGTGTGTGACAATGGTCCGCCATTTTGTAGTCAGGAATTGAAAGATTTTTGTGAGAGGAAGTCAATCAAACTGATGTTTTCACCCCCATATTCACCTCAATCTAATGGACTAGCTGAAAGTTCCGTTCAAACATTTAAAATTATATTGTCTAAATTTTATCTTTGTCAAAGAAGTCGTAATCTACCACCAGAACAAATGTTACTAGATTGTCTATACGCTTATCGTTCCACTCCATCCTCTGTAACGGGTAAAATCTCCTATGGCAATGCTACTTACTTTTGTACCTGAAACGCCTTTGTCTTCTGTAAAAAGAAATGTAAGTTTCGACTTTGTATCGAATCAGTCAAAAAGAAAGAATCAGTCAAAAAGTAAGGACAAGCAAAAGATAAGAATTCCAAACTACCATCCTGATCAATTTGTATGGGTAAATCTGAATAAAAAAACAAATGTTGGTGTAAAGTTTGTGGTAGGTCAAGTGACCAAGAAAATTAGTCAGACTGTTTATTTGGTAAGAGTGTTATCTGACAAAAGTATTCACAAAGTCCATGTAAATCAGCTTAGAGAATATTATGTTCCAAAACCTCATTCACCTAATCCTGATAAACTCCACACCAAAACACCGTCACCTAGACATGTGCCTAGTCCTAGTCCACCCAGACCATCTCCTGTTAACAATAGTACCAATCCACGTCCATCTCCACCCGTTATCCAACCTTCACCTACAAGTCCCCTTCAGCAGAGTAGTAGTAGAGGAAGAGTTATCAAGCCGACTAAAAGATTTACATTTTCTGAATTTGATTGATGATATTGAGCTGTCTTTTTTGTCTTAGAAGTTGTTTACTGTTTTGTTGTGTGTATTTTTAAGAATTGTCCACAAAGTTTTTATTTACTTTATTTTGTCACTTGAATTTTTGATGTTTTAAATATTGTCAACTTATACATGGGAAGGTAGTGATGTATCATAGGTATACCCCCACCAGGTAACCGATAGCCGTACTCAGATAGTTAGCCATTCCAGTCTGGGCAGTCTAAATATCAACAATGTTTGTCTCTGGTGTTACCTAATAAAGTTCATCAGTTCAGTTCCAAATGTGAGTTTTATTATATTATAGTCTACCTTCAAGAACACGTCAATGTTCTTTTAGGCTTTTCCAACAAAAGTGGTTCATTTTTATTTGCTCTAAACAATTAATTGTTAATTACTTTTAAAAGTATGTTAAATTAAACATTCATATTTAGTGGAAACCTCTACGATTTTATTTAAGGTATTTCTCCTATTTAAATTAGGTTCTTTTCACTAAATATACATTAAATGATGTGAAAGTGACAGGTTCAATTTCATTTGAAAAGGTTGATAATTAGTTAGCTTCAGAGAGTTGAAAATCTAAACAAAATGCATCAAGCACAAGCAATAAAAATCAATCCTCTAATTTCAAAGCCTTTAGATGGTTAACTAATTTTATAAACATAATGCGTTGTTTTCTGGTTCACTCCGAAAATTAAAGAGTATATTTGAAATAATGTCTCACAAAATATTACCAAGTTTTAAATTGAGCAAAGAAAAATTATTCAATTAATATCCTCAAACTAATTTTGAATTAACACATTCTCTGCAGTCAATCAATGGCAGGCGTAGCCCCGGTGCGGGACAGCGTTGAATGAACACGATTGCCGGACGATTGGCTTTCAAATATTTCGGTCAGACAAATAGCAAATAACGTGCGGTAATGTGATGCGTTACACGACGTAGTTTCTAAAATACTCACAGATAGCAGCATTGCTTGGAACATAGCCGGTCCCAATGTATTGTCAATTGGAGGGAGAAAGACACCCCAATAGGTTGATTTCTAAGCTTGCCATACAGGGAAATTTACTACCAACCTACACCACAATTATAGACAGGTATTAGAGACACAATACTAACACATGGACACAATACTAATACCAACCGTCCTCGGCGAGAGCCTGAGCCACATTGACTTGGCAAACAATGGATTGCGCGCAACCACGGCACACCATGCGTCACCGGGGACCCAGCCGCAGGGAATGTGTTAAGAGAATATTTTCCAAAATCTCAAACTAAAAACATACTAAAAGTTATAAGGTTATTTAGTAGGACTTACCTTTAACTTTGTTGTTGTATCTTTCTTGTTCATCTTTTTCCAAACGAGGCGAAAATCTTCACTAATGGTATGATCCAGTTCATCACTAAGCCCAGTTAGAATAGGTATAAACCCTCCTTCTTTTAAAGTGCTGAATCCAAGAAAAGGAACACCTGAAGTTGACTGTAGTAACTCTGCACTACGACCACTGTTTGCTGGCTGAAAATCAGAGGTACCGGTAGAGGGTTGAGTACACAGGATGTACAAAAATCTACAAGCTAGCTTATATGAATCAACTTGTAAAAATGCCCAGTGTACTTATTAGGGCTAAATATAGACAAGGGCTGGTCCACTCCTTTGATGTTAGCGGTCGCCACCCGATCCTACTTCCTCCTCTCCTGCCCCTCCTCAGTGACGTAGAGCTGGTACATCGCTGTGTGGCAGCCTAGCCAAGGCCACACTATACTGCAGGCAGGCCCTTCCACTCACGCTTCTACGTCACAGAATGTGCCGAACACCCAGCCTTGGTCGACGCCAGCCACCAGCGGCATTAGCTTAGGCTACTTCACCTGTCGCATTGCCACCCTTACTGAGCTAACTTTTGGTGGTCAACTATGTGCAGCATTAATCTAGTTTTGTAGTGACAACTTCTCATTTAGCTTATTACCCTTTATTTGTAGTTGAAGATGACAATTAATAATAACTAGTTGTTCTGCCCGTGCCTCGCTACAGGAATAGAACGCAGAGAAGATATGGCGATTCATCACCATCTTGTCCAATGCAAACTCTTGGTTGATTAAGCGCTTGTTGTTTATGTAAATTAATTTGATCAATGTACATGACACAATGAAAAATACTCTCCAGATGTGTTTTTTCCCATTTGGAATACATAAGGGCTCCTCCAAACTCTATGGTTCTTGTATCACTTAATTAATAAACATCAATCACTGTATTTTTAAAATATACAAAATTGAAATAATAAGTACGGTAAGCAATTTAAATAAAGAATTCAAAGGATTGAACACTATCGCACATTAATAAAAACGTACCGTCACTTCTCATGATGCTAAAGAAATCAATAGTAGAATCAAAACCCAAGATGTATTTCTTGGGTAGTGCACCCAAGAAATACATAACAATATTATATCAAAATATAAGAGGTTTGTTAAATAAAATCGAGCCATTGGAAATAATACTTGAAGAAATTGATCCAGCATTTTTGGAATTAACAGAGCATAACTTAAAACATGACGAATTTGATAAAATAAATGTCAATGGATATAAAATGTGTTCTTTTTACTCTAGATAGATATACATCCAATGGTGCGGGGTGGTGATAATGGCGAATGGCAATGTGAAGTGGGAAAACCTTAATATATCAAGCATAATAGACTTATGTGTAGATAAAATATTTGAATGTTGCTTTGTATCAATTAAAAACAGGGAAGATCAAATTGCACTGATGGTAATCTACAGATCACCTGCAGCTAGTGATGAGGTGTTTTTTGGCAAAACTTAATAATGCTCTACAAATTATTACTGGGATTTGTCCTTACATAATTGTAGCAGGAGATTTTAACATTAATGTCTTAGAGAATGCTAAAGATCAGTTACCGGTAATGAGAGATGAATTTGTTAATTTACTAAAAAGATTTGGGTGGAAATATCAGGTTAATTTTCCCACTAGAGTTACTGAGTCAACAGCTACAGCAGTTGATAATTTTGTTTCCAATATTGACAAAAGTAAAATTCATATTGAAGGTATTATTACAAGTCTCTCAGATCATGATGCCCAATTGTTAATGTTGTCTTGTTTAAACAATGCAGATCGCAGTAATGTTAAAAAATTACAATAAGTAAAAGGGCATACACAGATAAAAATATGGCTTTATTAAAAAAAAATAATTTGTGCCTAGAAAATTGGTATTCTGTGTACGCAGCTCTAATTGAGTTAAAATATGACTGTTTTTTCAATATTCTTACATATTATTATTTCCAAAAATTAAAACTAGAAAGTATATGGCTAGAAACATGTGGATATGTAATTCACTAATAGAAGAAAAGAAAGAAATATCAGCGCTGGCGCTAACTTATAGATCGAACAAAAATAAAATGCTAGGTAAATAATTTAAAATATGCGTTTCCCCCAAAAGTACTAAAGGTAAAAAGTGCTTAAAATAGACTAATTTTGGTACATACTTAAGGCAAAAAAATGCAATATAACATAAGTAAGGAAGAATAAGTCCAGTATTAGGCCTATTAGCGAATATATATAGGCTATTATGTCTAAAGTTTAGAGCTAAATATCAAAAACTTTTTTTATAAGTTTACATCCATTTTAAAACGTTTTTAGAAGCTCGCTTTCTTGTACGGTACAAATTTTGCAATCAATTTTATACTAACTTCCCGATGAGCTAGAGACTTGAAACTTAAATCATAGCTCACAAATGGATGACAATGCAATATTAATTTAATTTTCATATTTCCCTTGGGCTACGCCCCATGGGCTTGTTTTTATTAGTTTGCAAGTCGCTTTCCTACAAATTTTGATATCAATTTTAAACTAAGTTCCCGATGAGCTAGAGACTTGAAATTTGAAACATAGCTCACAAATGGATGACAATGCTATATTATATCATTTAATTTTCATATTTCCCTTGGGCTACGCCCCATGGGCTTCCAAATTTTCCATGTTTACATTTTGAAAGAATGTAAATATATCAATTAATATAAGTCAGCTGTAAATACTTAAATTTGACAGTTCGAAGAGCAGAGGTTAAGAGGTACAGGTTATGCTCCCAAGAGATTCTTTATACAAACAAACATTTCAAAATAAAGACAAACAATCTGATTGCAGATATAAAGGTGTTTGTTAATAATGTCATTTGTTATTTATTTAGTATTCTACAAAGTATACAATAAATTAAATAGATTAATATATTTATAGATAGTAGGTAGGCCATACATTCAATCTAATACATAATTATATGAAAAGAAACTCAAATAAACCTTAGATTTCCCACATGCCTCTGTCTTAACACGTTCGCTGCGGGACGTCAAATGGCGAGCGTATCCCCAGTGCGGCGCAGCCCTTTAGCGTCGAACAAACCCGATTGCCGCGTGTGATTGGCTTTCCAATTTTGGTCTGACGAATAGCAAATAATGTGCAGGGATGTCCTGCTTTACAACGAAAGTCGATGTAGTTCGCTAAACACCCACAGATAGCAGCACTGCTTGGAACGTAGTCGGTCCCATTGGAATTGTATTGCCAAATGGAGGGAAAAAGACGGGACAAAAGTAGATTTTTGAGATTGCCAGACGGGGATTTTACGGGGAAATTTACTACCAACCTACACCACATCAAAATGCAAGTCACATACTACACGCTAACGTGGTATAGGTCCGCTTTCGGCCGACGCTAGAGCAAAAACAACTAGATATACAAAAGGCATTGCCGAGCGTTCCCGATGGGGTACGGACGCACTCTACGTGTTAATCTGATATAGATGCTTGAAATAGATTTAACATCCACACACATTAAAAACTAAAAAGTAAAAAATAATTTATAAATAAAAAACTTAAAAAAAACGTTTTTAAACGCACTAAAAAAATTTGGGGGTCCGCTAGAACCCTGCGCGCACTCCAGCGTAAAAAAATACCCCCGCTGCAGCAAACCTGCAGACTAAGCGAATTTCAACTTGTCTGATTAAATTTGTACTAAAATACATCCATAAATAAGACATATTTATTCCCTATTTAAATAACATTAGATTTAACGAGTGCATAGGTTTGCTGCTACGGGGAAGGTAAAAAGTGTTTTTTGACCATACGTTAATAGTATAGGATGAAATAAATAAATTTGCAAAATGTTATCAATATATATCCGTAAACAAGTAAACTACAACAATTTTCATTTCCTCCATAAGAATAACATAGGAATTTTAAATTACACTATTTTTGAATTTTCTCCGTGACCGTTAGGCATACAACAGCGCTTCAACATACTAATTTTTTTCTTTTTTTAAGCTCTACAAAACGGTTTAAAAAGAAATTGCAATTTTTTTTGTTTTGAGGGTCAAAAATGGAAAAACCCCATTTTTACCCCATAAAACCCCCCATAAACCCCTGTTCTCATGGTCCGATTATGCTGGATCGCAAACTCGTTCGAATAAACGTAGGTTTTCACGTTTGTACCAAATTTCATCAAAATTGGATCATTTTTGCTCGAGTTATCGCGCTAACGGACACATATCTATATATATAATACGCTAAGCCGATTTTTGTAAACAGAACTCCTCCCTCATTTTTGGACCGATTTTAATTGTAAAAAGTCAAAATAATGGCCCTGATCTGTAGTTTTGCAAAGTGTTTTTCATTTTCTGAAATCTTTAATAGTCTGGGCAGGATCATCCATCAAAGTTGGGTTTTCTCCCATAAGATTAACATGGGGGAATCCAAATATTTAATTGGAAACTTTGTCTCCACTAATTTGAGAGAACGGCTGGGCGTATAAACTTGGTAGAGGTGTCCAATGAAAGGTCTTGGTCTCTAGATGAGTTATCAAAAGAAAAACAAAGTGAATCCCGTTAGGGCTCTGCCCCAGAAGCCCTTAAAGATCCCTCCACAGATTTGTTTACATTTTGATCATGTGGATAATACTTTTGAATTAAACAGCTGTTAATTCTTAAATTGTATTTTAAACAACACAAGTTTATTGGGAGTTATTGAATTGTCCAAAAGAAGTATTTGCAATGTTATTTACTGATTTTAAAATTGATTTTCTTTTGTATCATGATATGTTTTGCAATATAACGTTCCATTACGAAATAAGTTGACAATCTTTTTATAGTAACTCTTACAATTATTCCTTATTGAACTATTTTATATCTATAGTACGGGTTGGTGTCTGCCTTTATTACCACTTTTGCCTATATTTTATCATATTATTCTAGACAGACCCATCATAGGTTCATGAGATTATTGTCATAGATGTTTTCAATCATTGGAAAAGTCTTTGATTGTGTAATACAACACAAAATAATAAAGAAGGGCACGTTGTCTATATGATAAAACATTTTACAATATTTATATAGAAATATGTGCATGATTTAAAAAGTCATTAAACTGGAAACCCGCAATTTACTGCAGACTTTTCAGAGAGGTTACTTCGATGTATTTATTCCGCTAAGTAAAAACATAATAAGGGTATGTATACAAATAAGAACTTCAACTTTTATAGAGCCTTTCAATGTTATTACACTAACGATGAGGGTTCTGCATGTTAACTATCGCTACTCAGCAATAAAAACCATTTAATTTATCTCTAAAAAATATATTCTTAAGTGGACTGAGCACCAGCCTAAAAATACTATGTAACTTACTTATACAGTTACAAAATGCCTAAACTCGCATTTAATTCGGCTTATATTTCCTAAACAGATTAATTATCTGTAGAAGACGTTCATTGAGCTCTTATCGTGTCTAATAACATCCAAATACAGAAACCTTGCCTGGAATGGTACCGGTACCTATCTATGACAAATTATTTGCAGTGGCCTATATTACAGACCGTGGCCCACTAGGTTGGTAACATTATTGAAAATAACATGACGTTTTTGCTGTAAAAATGGCACAAAGAGTAAATACTATTTAAGCAGCTACTGTCATGGCAGAAAGGTCATATTCCTTTTAAACAATATAACATCATCATAAGATACGTTGATTAACAATGCATTTAAACGTCAATATTTACGTAACAGCCAATTTACAGCATTCTTAGCTTTTTGGAAAAATTAAATCGGTCCCGGGTCCAGGTCTTACCGTGAGTACTGCGGTAATAGCTTATTCCCTATATGGGAAATTCGCTAATATATAAATATATATATCTATATAAATAAAATTACAGTTTTGTCTGTACATTGCTTAGAATCGTGCAGTTTTTGGTTATTTTTACGTTTCATAGCCTAAGAAAGCCGAAACGAGTCTTATCTCAATTTCTGTCTGTATGTCTGGTTGTTTGTCCATTCTGTGACTCCGTCTGTAACGCCAAAATGTCATTTTACGCGGCCTACTCCTAGAAAACTAGAGTACCGATCAAGGTTCTAATCATTTTTCAACTGTATTTACTGAATTAGTGAGAGTGTCTTTGGCTATAAAAACATGGCCTCACTTCTTGGAAAACAAAATAACGAACCACCAAAAACCCAATTTTGTTCGATTTTTGTCAAATTTTCTCCCAATGTTTACTAGGTACTGTATTACATTTTATGAAATAACGATCAGCTGTTTGGATTAGTTCTCACTTCTAGCTGTCACTGATATGTTTACATTAAAAGTTGTTTACAAATACCACAACCATTTCCGATCAAGTTTAGTCAGCACATCCAAACCAAGTGAGATTAAAAACGTTGTGCCTTACTTAACCGGTTTAATTAATCGCAAGTGCAACAATTGTTCTTGAGTTTTGATAACCGGGGAAAATACCGTGAATCAGTGTTGTATTAGTGCAAGGAAACTTACAATTTTTTTAATCATCGTCACCAATACCGTAGCTTACAAAGGTTTCCACTCATTGACGGTGCTTCAAGGACAGTTGTGTAAAGTGCAAAGTAAAAAATCACAACTGCAGTGGGTGATTGTGGATGTTGCTGCGATCTTGGAAGATCTTTCTGATTTCGCTGTGATCGTACCGTAACGGAGGTTTAACTTAACAGATGTAGCTAAACTCGCTTTTCCAATGTGTCACTTTTGGTTTCTACTTAGGCCTACTTACATTTCGTCAACGATATCGGTACTTTTCCTACTTAGGAAATAAAACTACAAACGTACAAAACCCCAGATTTGTGCGTTTTTTGTCACATTTCCTCCGAATGTTTGCTAAATATGTACCGTTTATCGTTTAGAGATTACGTAATCTTTTAAAAAAGAAACCTTTGTTTGGATAAAGGTGGTTTCTTCAAACTGCCATTAATATGTTAACATTAAAAGCTGCTTACAAATAATGCTATTAATGGGAAACAACTTTGATTTTCGAAAACTTAAAAAAAAGTTTAAACCAAAGGAGATTAATAACTTTGGTACTGCACCACATCAAGTGAAAGTTTTTTTTAGCAAACCATAGTAAGTTAAATTTAATTGATGTCTTACTATATAATTTTTAGCGTTTTCTGTCTGGACTCCAAAATGTTGTGTGGACTCAATTCTGTATTTGTGTGTGTATGTCTATTGGTAACGCATTAATGTCCTTATTTTTCATGGAAAAGACAAGAGCACCATTGTTAATAAAAATTTCAACCCGAATAAAGTGTGCAGTAGTGAGGTTGAGGTAGGTAGTGTTTTAACTACTTTTAACCAGTGTGAAAAGTAACTTTAAATTACAGGCCTACCTTAGGGCTATGCCTCATAGATCTATACTGTAAAGCAATTCCTTTCATCGTTTGATATAAAATATGGACTAACACGATCGGGTGACATTTAATTGCGAAGCATTCATTTTGGCTCTGAAACTGTCAGATATTGTATTTGAGAAGGTTTATATGTATTCCTAAACAGTTATAGTTTTGCCATCATATCTGGAAAAATGCACACTAAACATGCAAACCAACTCCTGTTCTGAATATGAAAAAAACAGGGGTACAGTTTCTTAACTGGGCTATGCTGATCTTCGATTTGATTAGTAAACCGGGTACAGTTTCTTAACTGGGCTATGCTAATATCAATCGAAACTATCGAATTGGAAATATTGATTAATAATCAATATTTTTAAATATATCTTTAATAAAATTAAACTATCATAACCTAACCTAACCAACCAAACTTGCTGATGGTGAAAAAATCGCTTTCTTAACTGGGCTATGCTGATATCGATTGAAACTATCGATTTGATTAGTAAACCGGGTACACAGTTTCTTAACTGGTCTATGCTAATATCAATCGAAACTATCGAATTGAAAATATTGATTAATAATCGATATTTTTAAATATATCTATTATAAAATTAAACTATCATAACCTAACCTATCCAACCAAACTTGCTGATGGTGAAAAAATCGCATGAAGGTTTACTGGGTACAGTTTCTTAACTGAGCTATGCTGATATCGATTGAAACTATCGATTTGAAAAAAAACAGTGTTCAAATAATAAAATAGCCTATAGGCTAATGGCAATAATTATTTAAGGTTCCAATGCACTATTTCTCAGTAAAGGTAGACTACCCTAATTAATAAATCATTGTCGAAACACCTGTTAAAGATTCATTAATTCCTTTTAAATATGAAAAATCATAAGGTTAACATGGGGAACTACAGAGCCACTGGGGCGGAGCCCGAAAGGATTTTTGAGATAAGAATATGCTTTAATGTTAATCGGGAATGTGAGCTATCATCATGCCAAATTTCAGCCCAATCCATCCAGTAGTTTATGCGTGATTGAGCAACAAACACACACACAAACTAACAAACTTTCAGATGTATAATATTAGTAAGATAAGATTAGGCCTAAATTAGCCTAGGCCTATATTGGATAAATTTCCAAGCTAAAAATTTCGTCAGATAGCCTGATCCCGTGATCTCTGTGGAACTGTGCCCGTGCCTTGTCCCAATAATTTTCTTTCACCAAAGCTTTGATCAAAGTTATTTTTAATTTGATTTAGGCTATATTGAGAATTTAAAACTAAAAATAGGGTATAGTGTAATCCAGACCAATGATAACTCACCACAACATTGTTTTTAGTTCTTTGAGCTTGCTTCTTTTTCCCCATTATAAATTCAGGTGGCTGTTTCTAAAAATGTACAAAGACTCAAGGTGTTATTGAAAGAGATATTGATAAGTTACAATAATAAAATATTTAATAGGCCTAACTACAACTACACACATCACATAATAACCTCAAACAATTTTCTTATTGTTATGAAGTTATGACGTTCTGACTTGACTTTTTTTTTCTAAATGTCACAAATGTGACGGCCTTTGATTAAAATTCATGAGGCCCCAATGTTCACTTTTTGTGGTTATCCGTCTTTTTCTTAGTTTATTAGATATTAATCAGGAGAATGGTGTTGACACTTTAATTTTGTTATTTACATACATAAATGTTGACAATGAGCTATGATTTGTTCTGATATTTTTAGTTAATAATAAAGAAAGGATCTCTTTAAGGAAAATTGATGTAGATGGGTATCTGGGAGGGAGGGAAAAGGTTTAGTCTTCCCTGCCTGGGCCGATTAGGCAATGTCCTAACCCGAAAAAGGTGGGCCTTGGATGAAGAAACCCAGGATTGGACAAACATTCATGTGAAATTTGAGTGAAAGTTATGTGTTTGTTTCTAGATCTTTCGACCGATAGAATGAAGGAATTTGTTTAGTTCAAGATAAATGTCGTGATCATTTGTGCTGACAACTTCATTAATTTCCATCGTAAAGTTTTTACTGGTTCTTTTGGTCTTTTTAAGATGCTGGTCTCTATCTAAGCTGTATTTTGGGCATTGCATGAAAATGTGGTTTAAAGACTTGGCTTGAGTTTTGAGTTTGACTATGTTGTTTTTTTTTTCTGTGCCTAACAGGCAAGACTTGACATAGCAGCCATGAGTCTATTGAGTATTGTATTGTATTGATTGAGTGGGCGACGTGACGTCATTTAAGTCAAGTCGTCAAAATAATTTTATGCAATATGCAAATAACAGATGATTACTTTGCTTCGCTGGCTAGTAGCTTATCTATGCTAGTAGTGTGTAAACGCCGATTCTGGAACGCCCGAAGAGGACCCTCCTTTGGGCGAGGTGAGTGATTGGTCGAAAGATGAAATTTGGGGGCAGGTGGTATGCGGGTGTGGTTTACGTACTGTGTACGTACTGCATACGTAGGTTGTCTGCTTTCCCGCCATAACCTCACATTACGTACTTATATGTAGGTACCTTTGTTTATTAAATCAATATTTAACTATATTTGTTTATTTGTTAAATTGTTATGGACTCCGAAACCGCTCGAAAGATTGTAATGAAACCTTCAGGCAGATGGTTCGAGTGAAGTTTGGTGATGATCTGTCAAAAGGGCTCTGCCCCAGAGGGTTTTAAGTGGGCCAATGTCAGACTTTTTGATCTACAATGTTTACAAATAAATATATTTTAAAAGCAGATGTTTACTTTCACCAACTGTTTTGTAGGATTGAATAATTACAACATTCTGTATTAGCATTATATTAGTCATGATTTGAAATAGTGCCACAGTGTTTCTACAGAGTGCAGCACAGAAAACTATTTTACTTTCGAATAATTCCAAATGTATTAAACCCCAATCGCAGCACACCTGTGCACTTAACAACGTTTAAATTCTCCAATGTTAAATATTAAAACATAAAAACCTTTATCAAAGTATTATAAACAATAAAAGGGATGACTTTTTAAAATTTATGACAACAGCTAATTTGCAACCAAAAGGTGAGTGAGCGTAGCGAACGAGCTAACCTGAAAACAAGTGAGCACAGTGAACGAGCTCCAACCTAAAGGTGAGTGAGCGTAGCGAACGAACTTTAACCGGGACGTGATTGAGCCATGCGAATACTTATGAAGTTAAACGGGGCAAAGCCCGTGGGTACAGCTAGTATGTTATAAATGTAATTGCTTTTTATTTGTGTGTAATTGGTTGGAAGGTTTTGGGCCAAGATTCAAAAATGGCATTCAAAACCTTATTTTGTTTACTTTTGGCATTTTAAAAATCCCTAGTGTAGTACTTCTTCTTCCATAATGTCTGTATTCGTTGCTTCTATTGCCACTAATGTAAAAAACCTTAATACTTTATAAATAAACTAGCTGTTGTCCGCGTGTTTCGCCTTGTTTTTTTTAGTATTAATAAAACTATTGATTGCCGTACCGGATTGAGTGTTATTTCAAAAGGCTTTTCGTGGTTACTTTGTGAAAAACAACATCGGACTTTATAAGGTGTCAGGGCAGAGACCTAGTAGAGTGTTAAAACAAAAGTTGACAGTGGCCTTTAAGCCTGTGGTTATATTGACTCTACTCATGAAAACAATAACTGAATTGGTCAAGAAGTTTTTACGTTATTAACATACTCCAAACATTCATATATCTAATGCTAGTTCTTTCTTTTGTTAGAAAAAAATAAAGTCAATAAGTTAATTGAATTAAGCACTTAAAAATGAAAAAGCTCTATTCGCACAATAACACAAATTATTTATTAAATTTAAAGAATAATTATTAATTTAACAGTTCTCATTGTGTATCACAGTTTACGAGTGACTATCTTCTCATAAAGAATTTGGAAGTTAACAAAAATTGGCTCAAAAATAAGCACAAAAAATGAATTAAAAATGTTAAAGATTAACATGGACCTTTATGGGTTGCGATGTTGGTATCGAAAAAAAAATATATAAACAGAAAATAAAAAAATTGAAAAAAAATTCCAATCAAATGTTTTATTTACAGGGTGGGGTGAAAATAGCGAAATTTGCACAATACTTACTTTACCACGGGGTGAGATCTTCTTTAAAGCTAAAATAACTTTGTACCAAGATAACAGGAAATAATAAATAAGTAGAAAAAATTAAAATCTTTGCTCAAAGTGATTTTGTTGTATTAACACCCCAACATAGAATTTACGTAGGGTAAGTGCCTACAACATTTGATAAAAATGTACTGGACTGCAGAAGGCAAGGGCGAGGGGATGTGTCCTACATAGAAACATTTTTAGTTGATTTGTAAAACCAATCAAAATAATAAAACATGTCCTAAAATTGTATATATGGTCTAAAGAGATGAAAAACTAAAAATGGAATGAACTTACTCTATGCCCCCTCGATATGTGTCTTCATTTAGATTTATATTACTAATGATTGCATGTAAACCCTTTCGAAGCAGCAAACCTATATCCTTAAGTATTCATAACGAGAAAAACATTACGTTGGAAATTTTGTGAGTGCGCAGTCCTGCTGTTACGGGAATATGTTTCCATTTCTTCCTTTAACAATCAAGCTAAGTTAATGATTATTAAAATAATATTTTCTCTTTTCCATTACAATAGTTAAATTTTAAAAATGTGATACAAAAATATTTAAAATTCCTTCTTTAGACAAATTTTGTTCAAACTCAAATAAGCTTAGACCTACTGTGAAATGAACATGTGAACTTGTATATTCACCCCAAATAATTACCCTATAAATCCTTTTTCACGTGGTTCAATCAAGACTGTTCGCAAACGTGAAAAAGAGTATGTGATCTTGTACGTTTATGCCAAACTTCCTCCTTCTTATAGTTTAATAAATTTTGTCCATGAACAAGAACAAGTTTATATGATCTTATATGTTTTTATGTAAAAATTTACCGAAATTGAGGTTTGTTCAAAGGTATCATGTTCAGTTATAGGGGTTCAAAATGTTTTTTTTTAAGAATACATTTTTCTTTTTATCAAATAAAAGGTTTAATGGCACAATACTGATATACCTACACTTAAAAAAAACAATTATTTTTTGAGTTATTTAATCTTGTTAAGTTTCCCATGAAAACATAAAGTGTTCTTGAAATAATCTTTATTCTCCCGGATAATCTATAAAATTGCATATCTTTCTTGTATATAAATAGATTTTTTATTTGGAATGTGTCGTTATATAGCTATAATTGACTAATATTTAGACCTACAACAACACAACAGCAAACACATCCTAAAGTCCAAAATAAGATAAAACTAATGTCTAGCCTATTTAAATACAGTACCCATAAACTCTCATCTTATAGTCCATGTAATTAATATATAAGTTCATGAAATTAATAGTATTTATGTGGTATAACAAGTTTATACCAGGTTTAATCGAAATTGAACTAAACGAGGTTTTAGAGAGAGTTGCAGGAGTCTTTAACTTACTTCAACGATTGAAGTGTAAAAATTATTAAAATGACTCTTATTAATTACAAAATAATTAATAAATGCACGCATATTAACTCAACACAAAATCTATTTCATGAATGTTTACAAAACAAAAACAATAGAAAAACATATGATAGTAAAAATATGTATAAATGAATTATAAACAGTCTTAGAGAAGACATAACAGTCTCCCCCACTATTTTGAACTTGCAGTGTATTATTATGAAAGCACAAAGTCCTTGTATCGGCCCGGCATTTGCCTTTGTCGCCTTGATCTTTCTTGATTCTCAGGAATATGGCTATTGTTCGTTTCTGTTCCCTGAACTACTGGAACCTCTGCATTGTTTGCTTTGGGAGTTGGTGGTCTTTCGGAAATTGACGGTCCTTTGGAAGTTGATGGTCCTTCGGAAGTTGATGGTCTTACGGAAGTTGATGGTCTTTCAGGAGTTGATGGTCTTAAGGGAGTTGATGGTCTTTCAGGAATTGACAGTCTTTCAGGATTAGAACAAGTAACAGCCTTAGAATTTTCTTTTGTGCTGTGTTTAGAAGCCCGTGGAACATCAAATATGTGGATTGGTCCCGTGGTAACAATTTTTGGTTTTGGTATCAAAGTAGACCGCAATTGATCAATGTGTCGTTTAACAAGTCGGCCTGACTTGTCAAGGGAAACTAGATAGTGTCGAGTTCCCAACTTTTTGTTTACTTCTCCAAACTCCCAAACGTTCTTGTTGTTTATGAAGAGACGAACCTGAACTCTCTCCCCCTCGTTGAATGAACGTGCAGATGGAGCATTTCTAGTTGATGCTTTTTGTACGTTGGGAAAAATGGCATCCATTCGTATTCTTAACTTCCTGTGGAGGTAAAGGTCAGCCGGTGATTTGCCACATGCTAGAGGAGTTGCCCGGTACCGCATTAAGATCTTCTGGACCTTTATTGCCATTGGTATGTTTTCCGAAGCTGTGGACTTCAGGCGGTTCTTCAATGTTTGAACAGAGCGTTCTGCTAAGCCGTTTGTTGCTGGATGTCCTGGAGATATGAATTTCTGGAAAATGCCGTGCAATTTGCAATAAGCTTGGAATGTATCACTTTGAAAAATTGAAGCGTTGTCAGATACCATAAAATTCGGGTAGCCGTGTGTTGCAAAAATCTGTTCAAGCAGATGTATGGTATTGGAGCTGGATGGTGCATCTTTGATTACTTTTATCTCCGCCCATTTTGATCTAGCATCAATACACACGAGGAAGTTGAAGCCTTGAAACGGTCCTGCGTAGTCAATGTGTATTCTTTCCCAGTTCTCTTTTGGGATTTCCCACGGGTGATTGGGAGCTTTGGGCGGATTTGACCGTGTTAGTGCACAATTTTCACATCCTTTCACAAGATGCTCAATGTCCTTGTCAATATTTGGCCAGTAAACATAGCGCCGTGCTAGCTGTTTCATTTTTGTGATTCCAAGATGACTTTCGTGAAGTTCATTTAGAATCTTGTTTCTAAGTAGTGATGGAATGTAAACTCTTTCTCCCCGGAAAATAATGTTTTCGACCAACGTAAAATCAGAATCAGTTGAATTGGTGAGTAGGTCTTTCAAAATCTTAGAGAGCACTGGATCTTTGGCTGTCTCGTTCTTAATGATTTCAGCTGTGATTTCATGGCTTGAAATTTGAAAAATAACTTGGCTGCAGATTTTGTGTACCTCTTTTCCGATTTTCTTGTCTTTAGTAGAGTGAGTCTGTGTAAGAGGAGCTCTTGAAAGACAATCCACGTTTTTATTTTCCATGCCCTTTTTGAACACCAACTTGTAATTGAAACCTGACAGATATGATGCATATCTGAGTAAACGAGCTGAAGTCATTTGTGGTAGAGCCATGTCATGTCTGAAGATCCTAGATATTGGCTGATTATCTGTTACAAGTTGAAATTGAGTCCCGAATAGGTAATAATTGAAGTGGGAGACACCAAAAACTATGGCTAATGCTTCCCGGTCTAGTTGACTATAGTTACATTCGGCATCAGTGAGTGAACGTGAGGCGTAAGCAATTGGCCTCTCAGTACCATCTATTAAGTGGCTAAGAACTGCAGCTAGTCCAGTAGGTGAAGCATCTGTGGTGAGGACTAACGGTAGTTTTGGATCGAAAGGTACGAGTATCCTGTTACTGCAGAGCTCAGTTTTGATTCGTTGAAAAGCCTTTTCACATTCTGGTGTCCATTCCCATTTCTTATTTTTGCGTAACAAACGTCGCAAAGGAAAAGTGACAGTTGAAGCATCTGGAAAGAAACGAGAGTAGTAAGAAACCATTCCTAAGAATCGTCGTAATTCTTCAACTTTTGATGGACGTGACATTTCTTTAACAGCTTGAACTTTGGTAGGAGATTTCTTTATTTTGTTTAACTCCACCACTCGTCCTAGATATTCTATTTGTTCTTGAAAAAATTAACACTTCTGTTTGTTTATGTGTAAGTCAAAATCTGAGAGTCGTTGAAGACAGGCCTGTAGATTTCTTTTGCACTCATCCATTGTTGAGCCATGGCAAATTATGTCATCAAAGTAGGCCTCGGTTTTAGGCAACCCCTTCAAAATTTGTGTAAGAATTCGGTTGAATTCAGAAGGTGCTGTCTTTATTCCGAAACTTAGACGATTGACACGATATGTTCCACGGTGTGTTGACATTGTCTGGATAATACTGGACTCTTCGTCGACCTTGAGGTGCAGATAAGCTTTGTACAGATCAAGTTTACAAAAGTAACGAGATCCTCTCAAACTATCGAGTACATCGTCAATTTTTCGAATAGGATGGTTTGCCTGGACTATTCGTTCATTCACACCACACTTGTAGTCAACACAGAGACGAACACTTCCATCTGCCTTAGGTATCACGACTAGTGGTGACCCCCAATCACTTGACGTAACAGGCGAAATGATTCCTTCATTTTCAAGTAAATCTAGTTCCTTGTTGACCTGATCAATAAGAGCATGAGGTACGTTCCGTTCACGATTGAAAATAGGCTTTGCTCCTGATCGAAGATGTAATGATACTGTAAAGTTTGGAACGCATCCAATTTTTGGCTCGAAAATTGGCGCAAATTTTTCAAACAGTTCCTCAACTGAATTTACTGGTTGTAATTGAAGGGTAGTAGCTGGTCGGTTCATTTCAGCGTCAATTTCACACAGTTCAATACCCAGTCCTCGGATCCATTGGCGCCCTAGAAGTGCATCATGACCTGAAGGGACGATGTGAAGGTCACCTTTGAACTGTTTACCCTTGTATGATACAGAAACTGATACCTTTCCCTCTGGTTTGATTATGTCTCCAGAGTAAGAACGGAAAGCTAGCCTTGATGGTTCTACAGGTACGTTCAGATGTAGACGTTCAAAGTCATTCTTCGCAAGGAGAGAAAATTTAGCCCCACTGTCAACTTCAAAACATTGCAATTTTCCATTTATAGTGACAGAAACAATGTACTTGTCTGAATCATATCCAACTTCAAATAAATCTACGACATCAAAGTTCTGGTAGATCGAATCAATTTTGTGCACTCCGTAATCAGAAGAGTCGTCACTAGAATAATCGTCATCATTTGATCCTGAATGTAGGTTGTTGGTTGAATTTAACTTTGATGTTGATTTCTTAGTCCTTGACATCAGTGTAGTTATGCAGACCGCAGAGACATGTCCTCGTTTTAAACACTCACCACATTGGAGTTTATACTTGTGCCTGTTACAATTTGCAGCAATGTGTTTGTTACTTCCACATCTAAGACAGAGGCCTTCTATTCCGAGGGCATTGAATTCAGGTCTTTTGTTATTTGAACGTTGTTTCCAGTTGAGAGATGTCTTGTTGGATGAGCGATTGTTAGAGAACTGGTGGGATCGTCTGGAAGACCTTGTAATTTTGTGCACTCCAGCCGAATCCATATTAAAGTTGTTAGAACATGCATGTTGGTGAAATTCTTTGCTTTCAACCTTTGATGCTTCAAGAGCAATAGCTTTCTCTAGAATGTCATCAAACTTTGTGTAAACGGATTGTAAAAGGTGTTCCCTAAGCCAATTGTCCTTCAATCCTCGTATGAACTGTGCCCGCAAGAACACATCAGCAATTGACACAGGTGTTCCACATTCATCGTTGGAGCATTCTACTGCAAATTCACATTCTTGAAGATCACGTCTGAGGTCGGCCACAAACTCTGAAATTGACTGGTTTTCTTTTTGAAAGATATTTAAGAAATAATGTTGAGCAACAACAACACTTTTCTTCGGAGTCAATAGTTTCTTGAAGTCATTCAACAGAGTTTCATAATCTAATGATTTGAGTGGCTTGTCTGGGCCCAAAAATGCAGATAGGTTGTTATAATGTTCACTACCTATAGAATTACACAAGAGCTGAGCAATTTTCTTCTTATCAGTCAAACCTTTCATTGTATAATAGTTTTAGAAACGTTCTAAATAGCTGGTAAACTTTTCTTGTTTGGCATTGAAGTTTTCGAATGTAGCAACATTTGACATTGTAGATTGACAGCTTTCTTCTCTGGGTTTTCCAATTGATGTAACAATTGTTTGAATTTGAGCTTGAAACATGTTTGACATCTCACGTACAAGTGCTTTTTGTTGTTCATTGAATGTGTTTAGAAGTAAGGTAAACTGTTGTGCATCCATTATAGTTTGAACTGTATAAAATATTAATGTATCTTGAAACTAGAAATTGAATGTAATTTTTAAAAGTAAATGTGTTGAATTTTTCAGTGGCTAGTTGATTTTCACACTCGTTGCCAATTAAAATGACTCTTATTAATTACAAAATAATTAATAAATGCACGCATATTAACTCAACACAAAATCTATTTCATGAATGTTTACAAAACAAAAACAATAGAAAAACATATGATAGTAAAAATATGTATAAATGAATTATAAACAGTCTTAGAGAAGACATAACAATTATCTAATCAGTTCTTTCCATATTTTGTTTGTTTATGAATTTGCCTATTTAACAACAAATATTACTAAAATCGGGGGCGATTCGAGAGTATAAAATGATTTGCATGAGTCTCACCGTTTAATGCCAAATTTTATCAAAATCTGAATAACTAAAAGTATATAGTCGCAGGAGTCTCTATGTCATTGAGGCATCGACTGTTGATGAATAAAGATAATTTATGCTACGTTTTCAAACCAAACCAAAACTCTACCAATTATTGATAATTTGTGAACTTATCTCCCTAATGTCAAAATTTATCAAAATCTGAATAACTGAGGGTAAAAATAGAGTTGCAGGAGTCTCACTGTCATTGAAACTTCGACTGTTGAGGAGTGAAGATCATTTGTGCTACGTTTTAAAACCAAACCATAACTCTACCAATTATTGATAATTTGTGAATTTGTCTCTTTAATGCTAAATTTTATCAAAATCTGATTAACTGAGGGTATAAATAGAATAGCGGGAGTCTCTCTGTCATTGAGACTTTGACTGTCGAGGAGTGAAGATCATTTATGCTACGTTTTCAAACCATACCAAAACTCTACCAATTATTGATAATTTGTGAATTTGTCTCTTAAAAGCTAAATTTTATCAAAATCTGAATAACTGAGGGTATTAATAGAGTCGCAGGAGCCTCTCAGTCATTGAGTCTTTGACTGTTGAGGAGTGAAGATCATTTACGTTACTCTTCCTGTACTACCAATATTTGATCATTTAAGGATTCTACGATTTTGTCATTTTTGTACTGTTTTTTTGGATTTACATTATCTGTTTTAAAATAGACTTGTGTTATAAAACTGTTTTCACTTGCAGGACAACAGAATAATAGAAGAAAAATGAAGAGGAAAACTTGTGGCAAGTGTAAAAAAACTATTTTATCAACAAACTTTTCACGTCACTTGAAAAAATGTTCCGGGGAACTAATGAACACCATCGAACCCCAGAAGCCATGTGATATTTGTGGAACATTAGTTACACTATCGCATAAGACACGTCATCTTAAGCGTTGCACAATGAAAGGTAAAAGTGAGAATGAACCAGCTCCAAAGAAACATCGTCCAGAGGATATGCAACCATCAATCAACATCACCCAACCTGCTGCTAGCTCCAGTACTGATAACGTCAGATCATCTTTACTCTTAACGGACCCTACCATCACTAAAATTGAAAATCCTAAACATAAATCAGAAATCACCGAAGTGGAAAAAGCGTTCAAGAACAGGATGAAAACTTATATAATAGATAATAAACCAGCCATTAAAGATGCAATGCAGTTTTTACAACTTTCAAGACACTTATTAAGTGATAAGGTGCGAAAAAACTTGCAAAAGTACAACATTAAAATAATCTTAGTACTCTTGACTGAACACAGCAAAATAAGTAACAACTAGTGTCCCTGTTGCTCGAATTCGAGCAATTGCTAAGTATTACCTAGGCGTTATTTTAAAACGAATAACATCCATAATTTCTGAAGACTCTAAAAGATTCGACTCAAAGATTATGGAAATACTCAAGATGTACATAACAGATCGATATAATCAACATTTCTTGTAAATATCTTATCATTTTTCCAAAAGTGATCTTCTTTTTTAGTGGTTTCTAGAAATAGCCTTGTTCATTGCCGCATTAGGTTGTCCATAATAACAATTGTACATTCCAAAAAAAAATTCTATTTCTTTTCCTTGGTGGTGTTCTATGACATTTCTATGTTTCCATAGTTTGGAAATCGGCTCTTTCAATGATTACTACGAAATGCAGTACAGTGTTGTTAATTCAGTTTTCTTTTTAGTATATCATTTATCCAGGCTCTCGCTTTTTTCCATTGCAATATTTACGCCAACCCAAATAAAAAAGTCAACTATTTCATTTAAACCAAGTCAGTAAATGTTTGTAGCAAACTGTTAAATTAGCAATCTTGTTGACTGTTTACAATTAACATATGTCCTTCTTCTCACTTTTAATTTCTGACAACAGCTGGAGTTTCATAACAATTTTTGTTTCCCATGTTAATCTTATGGAGAAATACGAAAATTAAAAGGGCCCTAGGGCCTCACTCTCTAATTATTTGCCTAAAAAGAAAGTTTCCTGCACAACCTCACGTTACGCTCTTTCCAATGACACCAACAACATGACAATCGATTCAGTAGTTTCGGAGGAGTAATTGTCACAAAAAACCTGCTTGCGTATTAAATAAGTACGAGAGGTCGTCCAGTGGTCGAAACTCGACCAAAAATATGTAATGTACTCACTTCTCTATTTTCACCCCACACTGTAATTAAAACATCTGATTGTAATTTGTTCCATTTGTTTTGATTTTCTGTTTATATTTCGTTGTTATTTCGTCACCAGCATGGCAACGCATAAGATCCATGTTAATTTTTTCAAATTTTTAAACTAATTTTTTGTGCTTATCTTTGAGCCTATTTAAATTTATAATGGGATTCTGCACACCTACAGGAAAATTGCTTTCTAACGGTATGCGCAGATTTACCCCACGATGCACACAAGCTGAGAAAAAAGGTTTTAAAGAAACATGCTTGCCTATTAATATATAGATAGATAGTAGTCCAGTCAATGAATGATCCAAAAGTAGGTGTAGAGTGCGTGAGCAGGTAACTAAGCGATTCCTTCAGAAACTTGTTCAGGGGGCTTAGGGTGTTAACATACCAAAAGTCCTGACTCCTAGGTGGTGAGCCAGGGGGTGGAGGGGGGAAAAAGGGGGGGGGGGGAAAGGTACGCATTTTGGGTTTTTTGATTATATCTCGAAAACTATCAACTTTTTGTATACTATAGTAAATTATAAAATTGAAGAAGATTAAATTTTCTACAAGAAAAGTATATAATGTGTTTATTTTGGTTCAACAGATTACGAGTTATAACTTATTTAATTGATATCTTATTAAAATCTTCTTCCATAAGAAATACATGTAAATGAGTATGCGAAATGGGGCGAATCCTATCCGCCCAAATGAAATATAAATGATATTCTGGAAATCTTGACAAAATTTCCAGTAATTTGACACTTTAATCATTAAAATTGATCCAAAATTAAGGCGAGGGCGAGGTAACAAAATTTCGAGTTTTGGTGTTTTTTTATTGGAAATATAAAAAAAAACTTAAATCATCCCATTTTTAAACGCTCACCCTCGCTTTAATTTTTGACAAAATTGCATGATAAAAGTGTCAAATTACTGGAAATTTTGTCAGTATTTCCAGAATATCAGTTATATTTCCTTTGGGCGGATAGGATTCGCCCCATTTCGCATACTAATTTACATGTATTTCTTATGGAAGGAGTATTTTAATAAGATATCAATTAAATAAGTTATAACTCGTAATCTGTTGAACCAAAATAAACACATTATATACTTTTCTTGTAGAAAATTTAATCTTCTTCAATTTTATAATTTACTATAGTATACAAAAAGTTGATAGTTTTCGAGATATAATCAAAAAACCCAAAATGCGTACCTTTTTCCCCCCCTTTTTCCCCCCTCCACCCCCTGGCTCACCACCTAGGAGTCAGGACTTTTGGTATGTTAACACCCTAAGCCCCCTGAACAAGTTTCTGAAGGAATCGCTTAGTTACCTGCTCACGCACTCTACACCTCATTCCTTGACTGGACTATAGATAGATGAAGAAATTATGCAAGAAATGAACTTTAAAACAAGAAACATAACGTTATATCCTACTGATGACATCGAAGAACAGCTGCGAAACAAGGAAGAACAAATTTTGAAAGAGATGGAGGAGTTTCAAACAAAAGGCTCTGGTTGGACTCTAAGTAAAATTATTAACATTGAACTACGAATCAATCGCTATGTTCCACTGAAAGGATCGTCCTACATTGACTTACTGTGGTGTTATTAATTAACCTGTAAAATAATAATATGTTAATATGTTAAATGTTTAAAAGATCAGATGAACTGTTTATTTATTTATTGTTTACCTTTTGTTTTGAGATTAGTTATTGAAATTACTAGATAAAATACTGTTCCTAAAATGTTGATTTTGATTTAATAAATAGTTTCTTCACATGGTGTCAGGTAGAAATAAATATGGGAAGCAGAAATAAAAGAACATCTAAAGGAAATTTGAAGAAAAGGGATTACTTACAAAACGAAATTGATCTTGAATCAAGTGAAGATGAGTCTAGGCCTAGGAATCAGGTTTGTTCGAAGAGCAGTTACAGAGATAAAACCTCAACTGAAGCATTGAGAGTTACTTCAGTGTCAGGTATGCAAACTCAAATTTCTCCACCTGAAGCTTTTGATTTTCAAAATCCCGCCTTGTGGCCTCGTTGGATGAAAAGGTTTGAGAGGTACAGGATTGTTTCAGAGCTCTGCTTTAAGCCTGACAGTCAACAGATAAGTATGCTCTTGTACACTCTAGGCGACAAGGGTGAGGATCTTTTCTGTACCTTTGGTATTTCGGAAGAAA